TTGTCCCGTTCCATTAGACGATGGACGAAGCTCGATAGGACCGTCCGGGAGACGATGAGGGAGCAGGTAGAACCGAGCACCGAGGCGGTCGCATATAGGATCCAGCTATTAACCGTGTGAGCGTCGCGACAACCGGTGACCCAGCGGGACAGGGGACCTACCCTTTCCAGATACCAAAAATATAGCCGGCTATGGTCCCAAAGGTGGACCAGCCCACCAACGGCGGGAAGGAGACGAAAAAGACACACCACCAGAGGGCAATGAAGGCCCATGGCGACGTCTCCCACTGCTCCGCCACCGGCCCCAGCCAGATAAAAACCTTTCCGGTGAAAGCCAGGAAGCTAGCTGCTAAGACGTTGAGGAGTAAGGCGGCGAAGACGGCACCTACGCGTTGCCACAGTGTCATCCTCCTCCAGGTGCGCAACACATGCCGGGATGTCTTGTTATAACGCTCCACGATCTGGTCCCATAAGGTCGGCGGTTCGTTCAACGAGAGACCGGCCGTACGTCGTCGGCCGGGTGCTAGATGACTCCATGGCATCTGGTTATCCTCGTCGTCTTCCGCGGCGGAGAGGGGAGATGTGGGAGAGGTCGAGACAGACAGGGCCTGGGCGGTGGACGTATAATCCGCCGGCATACTGACGAGGCGGGGGAGAGGTTTTTTGTGTTGAATTTATTTTTTGCTGGTCCTGCGAGAAGTGGTGCCAGCGTGGTTTTAGTAGAAGGATCGGCGACAGTGGAGATTGGACGTGATGGGTCTGAGGGAGAGGATGGAAAGTGTTCTTTCTCTGCGCAACGGCACGCACACCGGGTTGAGATTAGTCCAGTCTTGTCAAAGCACTCTCATCCATTCAAGGGGGCGTGACAAAAGTGCCCTCAAGAACTATCTAGTTGCGCATGAGAGGGAGTTGGTTGAATGAGAGACGGAATTCGTCCGGCCAAGGCTTCCCGAGACTGAAAAGGAGAATGCGGAGGGATCGGAGCAATAGAGTCTTCCGATGGTAAAGTGATGCAATCCGGCAGGTACTTGGGTCCGGTTTGGATTATTACCCTAGATGTCAAATCAGGTAAGGAGTAATGTCGGTGAGAACTGAAGAAGTCTCTCAAGAGTACTTGCAAGGTGTTCTTGAGGTGATTAGGCGGATGGAGTAAGCCGATAACTGTTAATAGACAGAAGGATTGACGATGGTGGATTGAGTAAGGCGTCAATATTACCGGTTCGTATCCAGATTACATGACATTTCATCCCGCCCTATCCTCCTCCTGAACATTTGTCTACCATTACTATATCTATGGGGGTCTTATTACAACTTACTGTATGACGCTGTATCATTGCCTCATGGCCTGCCTCATGGCCTGCCTGAAGAAACACCAAACACAAGATCAGGTCTATCATAGTTGGATAATACGGAGGATTTGATTGAGCATATCACCAGGACTCTGCAGTCTGTACATTGTGATAGTAGACAGGGGCAGAATATTCAGAACCAATGATCAGACGGCAGATCGACCAGATCAGTCCAGAATCATAATAACCTTGTTGACCATGGATGCTCTCTGACTTTCCCCCACATCTTGAAGTGGATGGATGTGGAAATAGATCAATAATAACAAAGAAAATCAGATAGAAGAAGAAGAACAAGAATCAGAAGAAGAAGAAGAATAGAAAGATCAAGAAGAAAGAAAGAGGAGTCGAGTGTTATCAATTCCAAGGTACTATATAGTACCAAGTTGGCACCTGATTCCGCAGGCTAGCGACCATCCTCTCTCCCCTTTGATTGATCCTCTTTCTGTCTTTCTTTCCTCTTCCCCTTCTTTCACCTCCACTCTCTTGATCGACCTCGCGTCTTTCTCTTCTTCTACTACCCCTTCATTTCTTTTCCTTCTTTTTCCATCTGGGTTATAGTTTGCGCATTCTTTCTCCCCTTTTTGGTCTCTTCTCCCCGCTTGACTGTCCCCCCTTATCGAACATTCCTGGGGATGCGATGTGATCGTCACTGGTCCTTTGTTGCTCCCCTATCGCATTATCATCTGCCCACCCATCGATCCTCTTTTTGGATCTCTGAATTATCCTCGGTCTTTTTGAATCCCCTCCACAAAGAAAACAACAAAGACAAAGCAATGGAGTCGCTGTGAATCGCGTGGTTGGCCTGCGGTGTTATTCCCGATCTTATCGCTAGCTAGCTGTCCCGGCTAATCTAGTCTCCCCGGTTTTACCCCTCACCTTCCAATCCCATCATCCACTCTGCCCCCCCGTGTTGTCACCTCCCATCGCATACACCTTTCAGTCCACCATGATAGAGGACACTCTACTCGAGGAATGCCTGCGCATCCTCCAGGACGGCTCCCTTGATGAGGAGGAACAGGCGGAGAAAATCGAAGACTTCTTACGGGAAAAGACCACGTTGTCGGGTGCGTCGCTGGAGAATGCCGTGTTGGACGTCCTTTGGCGACATCGAAGTCGCACAGTGCCAGACTCCTCTCCTCCGCCGCCTCGCCCGACCATTATTCGTCGCTCCTCGCCTGCCCCCTGGCAGATGGCCCGATCATCCACGCCCCTGTCCCCTCACTCGAATCTGGGCACCAGCCCCGGCAGTGCTTCATTCCTCCAAAGCTCGCGAGGGGGCTTCTCGCGGCCCCCGCTCTCCTCCACCGTCTCCCCCTTCACCTCACCGCGCCCGTCCCCGCGACTCGCCCTGGCCCAACCCATCCCACACTCGCCCAATCTGAATGCCTACGAATTCTCCGATCAGAGCCAGGTATCCGAGTTCTATGGAGACTTTGGTAGCGATAGCAACGTGGACTGGTTGGTCGCAGACGATGCCAACAGCACAACCTCCTCCCTGGGAGCGCTCAGCGCGACGGCCCCCGAGTTCGTGCCCGACATGAGCCCGCATGATATCCTCCGCACCGTACTCGGCGATAAACGGTCCAATGACGAGATTGAGACGGCTCTGGAAGCCAACAGTTACGACCTGGGCGCGACCATTGCGGCCCTCTCCCAGCCGACCGACGCAGATACCCTGTCTCAGCAGATGGAGGATACCCGCGTGGTGGTCGGAAAATCAATGATGATGGAACCGCCCAGGGTCGTGCCATCACCGAGCCAGAATCGCAGCCCGGTGGTCTGCAAATACTGGCTGTCGACGGGCCAGTGTCTCCGGGCGGATTGCCGGTTTAGCCACGATCTGACGAATCATCTCTGCAAGTAAGTGTCTCCAGGTGTCCTCCGGGGGAACATGGCTAACCATAGGGGCGAAATAGATATTGGGTCATGGGCAACTGCCTCGCCGGGGACGGGTGTCCCTTTTCGCATGACCCCTCCGCCCTCGTCGCGAACCTGAGCATGACCGACGGGAGCCGCCCGGGCTCGTCCAGCAGCTCCCCCTTCCAGGCCGAAAACGCTTCCGAGGCGTTCCCACCCTTGCAGCCCGCCGGTGATCTGTGGGCGGCCCAGTTTGGCGGCAAGTACCCGGCTCACTTGACGGCATACCCTGGGATGAAAGGGGTTCCTCAGATGGCTCAGTACGCCACCGGGAAGCGGAACGGAAGTATGACGCATCTGTCGCGCCCTCACTCTCGGCCGGGGAGCCGGCACCAACACCGGGAGCTCAACCCGTCGGCGCCGTCGGTGGACGACCCCGATGCATTTCCGACCCTTGCTGCGGTGAGCGCTAAGAACACTGGGAAGAAGAATGGGAAACGGGGAGCCCATCGGGACCACCATTCTAAGGAGAACCTCCCGGCCTCGTTGGCCGACGTTGTGCGCATGTCCCCGTCGCCTGCGTCCAGCAAGGGGAAAGCCTCCAAAGGCAACAAGGATGGGTCTAAGGGGCGTGAGAACAGCGCAGCTGCGCTGGCGATTCCGCCGCCGCAGAACATCCCGTGGTTGGAGACCGGGGTGCGGACCAACCAACAGTATATCAAGTATCGAACCGAAGCGATTCGGCATGGCACGGTGAGGAACAAGTTTCTGCAGAGGTAAGCCACCCCCCTCGCTCCCCTCGTGACAGCCAATCTGACAAATTCCCACAGCGCGGCGCAAGCGTGGAATCGGAATGATGCACGGGCCGCAAAAGCCCTATCGCTCCGAGGACAAGCAGAGAACGAAGCCATGCGGCGGTGTCACCGGGAGGCGGCCCGGCAGCTGTACGAAGAGCGCAACAAACACCTCCTCACGGCCGGTCTGGAGGACTCCACCGAGGAACTCTACGTGGATCTGCACGGGCTGCATCCCGAAGAGGCCATTGAGTATCTGGAGAAGATCCTGCTGAAGCACGCGCGTGAGGGCCGGCGCGTCGTGTACGCCATCACCGGAACAGGTCACCATTCCAAGAATGGCAAAGACAAAATCGGCAAAGCAGTCAAGGCGTGGCTAAACGAGTGGAAATACGTATTCCGCGAGTTCAGCGTGCCGGGCGAACGAGGCGGATACGTCGGCGGCATTTTAGGCATCAACGCAACGAGTTACGACAAGAGTCTGGCCCAAAGCATGGCAGAGGACGGAGAGCGGACGACGGACGGAGACGGAAATCCTCCTGTCCTTACAATGGGCAAGATCCAGCTGTTGAAGCGGGAGGATCTCGAGCCGAAACACGAATGATTGAACGGAGCTGTTTCCCTTTTTCCTTTTTCCTCTCCCCTCAGTCCCTCCCTCCGCCTGTACGGTATCCAACTGTCAGGCCCCACGCACAGAACCAGGGCCATAGATAGATTCTTTGCTTGCTGATCTGCTGCAGCGCATTTGGACTTTCTAGCGTGTTATCTGCTTTGTTGTTTCAGCCTGATGAATGTACCTATTGATACTGCCGCATGAATCTGCCATACACCTACCTCGTATCCATGATAACACTGGGTCATACACATGACTATATACTTCTCAGTTCCTACCTTACCTACTATTTCCTCATCCAATTGGCAGTAATCAGACAACCCCAACCCGACACGTCGCTCACAAACCCCCAAACGTAAACATCAATAAATAAATAAGAATCAGGAATCTACTCCGGCTCCTGACCCGCCCACTCCCTCCTTAAAGCCCCCACATCAAACCCACACGCCTCCGCCTTAGACACAATCGCCCTCGCCTTCCCAGCAACAGGCACATCAATCATCTTCCCATCCAGCGTCCACGCGCCCCGTCCCGCCTCAGCAGCCTTCTCATCCGCAACAACAACCCTCATCGCCCAGGTGACCTCGGCCAAATCCGGCCCGAACACCGCCTGCGCGGTCCCCACCTGCGTCGGATGAATACACTGCTTCCCGTTAAAGCCGAGCCTTTTCCCGTCTTGACACTCCTCTTGCAGCACATCCGGCGCCTGCCCCGGCTTATCCGATTTGTACGTCGTGCAGACGAGATCGATCGTCGAGGGGAGGTCCGCTGCGCGCGCGGCTGTTACGATCGCGGACCGCGCGAAGAGGAATTCGGTCAGGGATGGCGTGCGCGTTAGGCTTAGGTCGAGGGCGAAGTCTTCGGCTGCGAAGATGAGGCCTTGCAGGAGGGGCGAGGAGGTGCAGATTTGGGTCAGGTTGGTGAGGGATTTGGCGGATTCGACGAGCGCGAGGATGGAAATAGGGGGGCGGGTTTGCTGTCCGTCTTGATATTGTTGTTGAGAGAGGGTATGTGTGATGACGTCCGTGACGAAGGTGAGGTCGGAGGGGGAGTTGACTTTTGGGACGACGAGCGTGGTGAGGTTGGGCGATTGGAGCTTTGCTTGTTATTTCCATCTTCTTTTTTTTTTTTTTTTTTCTATATTATTTTTGTTGGTGGAGGGGGAAAAAGAAAATGGGAAAAAATACCACTTCAGTCAGATCACTCAATGCCATCCCACTATCGACAGAATTGATGCGCACGGCGCGTTCGCGGATTCCCGCCGGCGCGGGCTGATCGAGGGCTCTCCGCACCAGGGAGCGGGCTTCGGGCTTCATGTGCGGAGTGACGCTGTCTTCGAGGTCGTAGGCGACGCAGTCTGCGGTGAGGGTGCGCGATTTGTCGATGAAGCGCTGGGAGGAACCAGGGACTGCTCGCTTGATCAGCTCTCTTCCATTGTAGGTACGGCTTGTGTGTATGGCATTGTGGTGGGTGTATGGTTCGGATTGGGAGGGAGGGAAAATGCGGGGAAATGACGGGTGGGTTGGAGATACGTACTGTAGAGGAGGGCTCGGCGGAGGCTGTTTCTGGTGGCCATTGTGAAGGTGGGTTGTAGGATTGAGGGGTACTGGAGGGTTTCTCTGGCCTTTGTTTATGAATGGAAGTGAGGATGATGGGATGTTGTGGGAGGGAGAGGGGAGAGAGATGCGATTGATAAAGGGTAACGGGGAGATGTGCATAAAGGCTTCTCCGGGTACTTGGTTGGCAGCTGGTCTGGGCGTTATGTTTACTTCTGATCTCTAGTCTCTCTAGTCGGTTCGTCTCCATTTCTTCTAGCTGATTTAGTATCTAGATACTATATACACACAGTCCATACATTGCATCCCAGCCATGGCATGACAACAATTTCAAAAAACAGCATTTCTTTACTGATAAGTCGTTCATTACTCGGTACTATCCAACAATGCAGGCATAACACCAAACAGGTTAGCGTCAAACCAACGGCTCGTTCTGCTACCTCTCACCGCCCGTATATGGCATGGAGACACGCAGCATCATCACGTTCATCCACCATCCCCGTTGTGGTCGCATACGTCCTAGCCTTTACATCTGTCTCCTGTTGAGAAAAGAAAACCGGGCTTGACTGCTCTGGTGCCACCGTCCGTCACGTACAACTGCCGTGATCCAATCCGTCCGGAAATACCGCGAGTATGGAGCAGCAACCTCTTCAAGCGCAGCAGGGAGACCTGAATTGGCGTCTGAGCGCCCATCCGATCACTCTCCTTTGTTTCCTGGGCTTTCGCATCGGCGCCCTTCTGATGTATCTCTTTGGGGTACTCTTCATCAAAAATTTGTGGGTCCCTCTCTAGAAGAAAACCTGGCTCCTTCCAGATAGGAAAGACCGCAGGGTAGCTTCCGTACTGACAATCGTCGCAGCATCCTCGTGTTCATCATCACCCTGCTGCTTCTCTCCGCCGACTTCTACTACCTCAAGAACATCGCCGGCCGTCGTCTCGTGGGTCTTCGCTGGTGGAACGAAGTCAACATGTCCAGCGGTGACTCGCACTGGGTCTTCGAGTCCTCCGATCCGAACGCGCGCACCATCGCAGCCACCGACAAGCGCTTCTTCTGGCTGAGCCTATACGTGGCCCCGGCACTGTGGGTCGGTCTGGCCATCCTGGCCATCATCAAGCTGCAGAATGTGATTTGGCTGAGCCTTGTTGGTGAGTGTCTCGATACCTCCGGGGATTCGTTTCTTGATGGTTCTACAATACTGATACACATATAGCGATCGCACTTGCCCTGACCATCACCAACACGCTCGCCTTCTCGCGGTGCGACAAGTTCAGCCAGGCGTCCACCTTTGCGAACCGGGCGCTGGGAGGATCGATCGTGAACAACCTTGCGGGGGGTCTGCTGGGCAGGCTCTTCAAGTAGGTGGGCTTTGGGCGTGGGATTATCAGAGATTGTCTCGTGACAGGGTTGCCTTTCCCTCTTTTTCCTCCTTGTTCTAGCCCAATCGGTCTGCAAAAGTATTTTGTAGGGTGCGGATTGGGTGTCTTGCATGACTTTAGAGTATCGACCAGTCTTTATGGAATATGATGTATTGTACATGTGAATTTGATTCTTTGACTGCCAGCTTATACAAGCCATTCGAAGTCTAGATGCCGCATTCTTTGATATCTTTGTGCTTGAACCAATCAACCAAGCAATGCCCAGTCTTATATACAAATAACTACAAGACCTGCAATAACATCTTGAATCCGATTTTTCTTATATGTCAACTTCTATGAGCAACTAAGCCTAGATACTACGTTTGATATATTCAGAGCTGGACACATCAAAGAAATAATGTGCAGCTTCTCACATACAAGTGACTTCCAAACCTCCAATATCATCTTCTATATCTTACCATTGCATTGCCAGTGCTTTTCCTCACCCGAGAATACTACCTAATAACTCAGTAGCCAGCACTATGCTCTCTAAAGTCCATACTCAATGTAGATTCAAAGACCACATCCCCAGTCATATCACCACCACAAATTAGACCCGCTTCCTGCCCATTCAGGCGCAACACATCGACGTGACGCGATACGACATATTAACGACACCATGAAAAGCCCCAAAACTCGGTACAGCAGTCACCACGACGAATCCCCCGACAACAAGCGTGTGACTCTAACTCGCTGGCTCGCCATGGAGAGTTTTCCTCCAGCTGTCTCCCACGATCTTTTCCTTTCATTCCTACCTACCTTTCTTCCCACCACCCGTTTCCATCCCAGTATTGCCCTAGTCATCGAAAGACATCCCTCTTTCCCTTATCCATCTAGTCAAGACTTCCCACGTCGAAATCGATTCAAGATGCCTCGCTCGGACTGCTGGACCGACGAGGAAATTGCCAGAGTGAGAAGGCTTCGTGCTGAGAACCCGCGTATGACCTGGAATAATATTCAGCAGGTATGTATTGACTGACTTTGTCCCTCCATTGTGGTCTTCGTCCTCTCTGCTGGGCCCTCAAAGACTTGAGAGGTACGTGTTGGTGCTGATGAGAGACAATAGGCCTTTTTCCATCGTCGCACCCACCATGCACTAGCAAGGATCTATTCGGTATGTTGATGTCTTTGGAGTGTCCTTGCTGGATTTGGGCCCTGCTGACAGAAGTCTAGGACTCGAATCGGGGTCTTCGAGGCTCCCTTGCGGCTGAGGTATGTCTTCGTTCTTTTCGTGATGTGGGATGTGCATTGGCTGATGTGCTCTGGTCCTTTCTTTGCAGAGTGGTATTGTTGCTGATCAGACAGCGGCAGAGGGCTCTTCTTCTGCTGTTCCCCCTGCTGTTACTACTGCAGCTACTGCTGGAGCCAGAGACGCCGGTGCTGGTGCGGCTACTGCTGGCGCTGATGATGCCACCGTTGGTGCTACTGAGCCAGAAGCTGACTCTCATAATGGCCTTGCTAATGAGGGTAAGTGTGACGTCGACCCTGCAGCCGAAGACGAAGACTCGTCTGAGGACAAAGGTTTATATGAATAAGAGCAGAAACCTAACAATTATACAGAAAAAGAACCCGGCTCTTCTCGCCAGGACGTCACTGACGCCGAATCTACCCCTGGTCAGGAAGGCAAGAGACGTGCTTCTTCCTCCCCTGATGGCCACACTGGCAAGAGGGTCAAGTCTGCCGCGAATGATAGCCTTGAACGTGCTGCCACTGCTGAATCTGGGGAAGGTCATGGACCTGCGGGTAGTCCTGACACTGAGACTCAGGAGCCTGCTTCTCCAGTTGAGCAGGGTTTTAGATCTAGGGGTACCTCAGAGCCGATCCCGTCCGTTGAGGATGACCTCGCCACCCAGTCTGCACGTGTCGCTGAGGATGTTTCTTCCGTTGAAGTGATTGACTTGGTCGAGTCCGATGTCGACATGGACACTGCCTCTGAATCCAGTGACTCGAGTGTTTGGTGGGGCCAGTCTGATGACGAATCCTGGCGTGGTGACAGCGTGAGTGAAATAGGAAACCCTCGGTCACTGCCAGACAGTAGTGTATATATTGATTGATTGTCTAGGAGTTTTCCCCTCCTCCCTCCACTTCCTCCACTTCCACCACTCCCATCATCCCCGCAATGCACAACAGCCACACCTTCTCCTTTGAAGCCGCGACCATCAGCTTCGCCATCGGAGGAAGCATAATCAACACCCAAGCCATGACCAACACCATGCCCAAGCCCGACATGAGGCGCAAGATCATGAGGGAGTTGGCTGCTTACCCCCGGACCGATGTCACCAATGGCGGCAGCCAGGCCACCCAGGCCCCTTCTTCGTCCCAGGCCCAGAAGCCAAAGAATAAGAAGAAGAAGACATCTCACTCGCAGACCGCTGCTAATCCCGAGATCGCGCTCCCCGCCATGTGGGCCATGATTGACGCGCAGATCGAACAGTCGAGGATGCTCGCTGCGGAAATCAGAAAGATGCGCAAGCTTACTACCGCCATCTTGGACCAGGCCTCACAGGAGACCCAGGTGAAAAGGGAGCATTGATGGGCTCGGGTAAGACGTCTGAAACCCGTGCGAGTTCGTGTCGCTGATTCTGGTCTACTCTAGTCTAGTCGGTCCTCGATACTGTCGCTTGAAGGTTGATGGGTTTTGCTACTGGATCTCAGAATGGATGTACTTGTGCCTGTGATTTGATTTATGGTGGTTTGTGGGAGATTGAGAGAATGAGAGGACTACATTTGAACTCGGGGAGGATTGTGTTTCTTGTGTTTCTTGTGTTTCTTGTTTCATTGTTTCATTGTTACTTAGGATGTCTTCAAGACAAATGGATGTAGCATAGGAGATCCCATCAATCAAAGTTAAATCAGTTTCATGCACAGGAAGTCTAAGTATAGGCACGTTGACTGTGTAAATATCAACATGGTATAAGAACAACTTAATCTAAAAGAACGAGATACATAAAGCCACAAGAAACACACGTACTACAAAGTCAGCACAATAGCTTTGTTTTGAATTTTTCGAAGGTCACAGCCAGGTTAAGGCCAGCGTTGCGCGAAGCAAATGGGTTGTCAAGGTGGAAATTCTCCTGACAGTCAGTGAAAAACGGTTTGTTGTTTGTTTCTGCAGCTCATTCACACTCTCACTCTCTACTCTCACTTCCTTTCCCTCCTCTCTCTCTCTCTCCTCTTCTTCTTCGTCACCCTCTCTTCATCCCTCTTTCCTATCCATACTTTGAACAGTACTCTGAGTTCGGTGGTTGGATTTGCTTTTCTTTTCTTCTAAACCATTCTAGGTGAGTCTCTCACTAACCTACCCTCTGAGGCGAAAATATCCTCTTCTCTTCCCTAGTTCTATAGAAAGAGATGAGCTGACATTTCTGTCTCTGGTAGCTCTCGGTGGTTTTCTAGTATCAATATTTTCAAAGCAGGCCTCTCTATATTCGATCAATATGTCTGGCTGGTCCCCCGATGATGCGTGGGGTGACACTGGCGCCGGTAGGTGACCTTATTCAGGTCTAACGATAAGAAAAAAACTAATTCCTAGACAGCGGGTTTTGTCGACGAGAATGTCAACCCTAGCGGTGCCAACGATACCGCTCGTGATGGTAAAGGCTTTGGCGATAACGGTTTCAACAATGACTTTGGCGGTGGTGATACTGCTGCCCCTAGTGCCAATGATGACAACAGATGCCGCAAGTAGGTATACCGTCCTCTTTCTTATAGTTTACAATCTAATAGGTTTTCAGCTGTGGTAGTGATGGCCATTTTGCTCGCAACTGCACCGAGCCTCGCAAGGGCATGGGTGCTTGCTTCAACTGCGGTGAGGAAGGGTGGGTCAACTCAGGTTATCTCTGATTTCCTATACTCACGATAAACAGCCATAGCAAAGCCGAATGCACCAACCCGCGCGTCTTCAAGGGCCCCTGCCGTATCTGTAGCCAGGAAGGCCACCCTGCTACCGAATGTCCCGAGAGACCTCCCGATGTGTGCAAGAATTGCAAGATGGAGGGTATGGTGTCAGATTATACGTTGGCGCTGCAGGAGCTAACTTGTTGCCAATAGGTCACAAAACCATGGATTGCAAAGATAACCGCAAGTTCGACTTGAACAATATCCCCGACAAGTGCCCCGAGGAAGCTTGGGCTGCCCTGACCAAGGCTAGCAATGCCAGGGATCTCGAAGAATTCCGCGAGGTATATTGCTTTATCTGCTTCTCAGTTCTTGGTCACTAACACGCTATAGGGGATCAAGGTCTACTCGAAGGCTGCCCCGCAGGCTACTTTTGTGGATATCGAGAATAAAATGCGCGAGGACAACTTCAAAGTCTATCTCATCGCAATGGTTCGTTTCTTTGCTTATTGCGTAATCGAGGCTCTGCTGATTCACGGCGTAGGAGAAACCAGTGGGCGATAGCATCAGTCTTATCGACCTCCAGGGAAAGCTGAATCGCCAGTACGTGGTTGGATTTTACTATAGTGAGAAACCCCAACGTGCGAACCTCCGCATGCGCTGGCCAGCTACTCCTGAGGAAAACCTCGAACGTCTCGCAGATGCTGGCTTCCCTTACGATCGTCAGATTCCCAAGTGCGGAAATTGTGGTGGTAAGTCAACTCCGTCCCATCAAAGATTAAACTGACATTTCATGAAGAGATGGGCCATACTGCGCGCGGCTGCAAGCAGGAACGTGCAGAGTATGAGCGTGTCGAGGTGAAGTGTGTCAATTGTAGCGAGCCTGGACACCGTGCTCGCGACTGCACTGAAAAACGCCGCGATAGGTTTGCTTGCCGCAACTGCGGGTACGCGCTTCTTGTTTTCCTTCTAGTATTACTTACTAAAAATGAGCAGAGAGTCCGACCACAAAGCCTCAGAGTGCCCTAATCCCCGCTCTGCCGAGGGCGTCGAATGCAACAAGTGCAATGAAAGTCAGTCTGTCCATGATCCCGAACTAGAGGATATATACTGATATCAACAGTGGGCCACTTTGCTAAGGACTGTCCTCAGGCCAGTGCCCCTAGAACCTGCCGTAACTGCGGGTAAGTCAAAGCCACCAAGCCGATTGTTCCGGGGCAAGTCTAAATAAAAATAGATCTGAGGATCATATCGCCAGAGATTGTGACAAACCACGCGATGTTTCTACCGTTACCTGCCGCAACTGTGACGCGGGTGAGATCCAACATGGTGAAAGCCAACCACTTTACAAACTAACTCATCATATAGTCGGTCATTTCAGCCGCGATTGTCCCCAGAAAAAGGACTGGTCTAAGGTCAAGTGCAACAACTGTGGTGAAAGTACGCCGGCTCTTGTCTTCCTTGTTTATGCTCTCAGCTAATGGTAGATCAGTGGGCCACACCGTGAAACGCTGCCCCACTGCTCAGGCGGAAGGCGAGGGCTACAGCCAACAGGAAAATGACTTTGGCAAACAGAATGACTATGCGATGGACACTTCTGCGGACGGTGGCTGGAACTCTGGTACTGGAAACGCCGAGTGGAACAATGGTACTAGTGACACTGAGACCCCGGCCCCTGCTGCTGGAGGTGAATGGGTTGCGGAAGGTGCTGGATGGTAGGGTGTCGACCGGACGATGTCTAGTCGCTTGTTTCCTGACCTACTTCACTTGTTTCTTGTCGTCGATTTCTCGTCGTCATGTCTGCCGTACGGCCTTCTGAATCTGGTCTGTTACTTTATTGAGGTTAGTAGTACGCAGCTGTTTGATCTGTCCGGCCCAAGTTGCGGTCTCAGATATGTTCTGACAGGGGGTGACCCGTGCCTCATGGTACTGGGCTTGCCTTGACGGACGATCTGGAACGGCTGTGTACTTGACCATGTTTACTATTATTGCACGATAGGAGAGGCTGGCTTGACGGAAAAGAATAGCTAGTCGTGCGTAAACAAAGTAATGGAAGTTAATCTCAAAAACTCCAGGTGCACAGTATAAGATATTTCTAGCAATTTGACGACTAAATAGGACAACGCCTACCACTAGATGCAAGATATAAGACCTATAAAGTAACCCATGCCTAGTATTTAGCTTCATCTCGCTCACTAGACAGCAAATTCTAGACTAACACACGATACATCTAGACCCTAACCCCTTGCAGGCTTTCGTATAGACGTATGCCAAGTCTCCTTGGCCAGTTTTTCTATAAATATTCTCACCAGATAGAACAATGGGCCGAAAATGACATGGAAAGCACGAAAAAAAAAAGTGCAATCAGTCAGGAAGATCCACCACCCAGCAGGGCAGAAATGAGATAACAATTTCACAAGACAAGTTGACCACAGATGCAACGTGTCATGAACAGGTTTAGATCAGGTAATTACATCTTCGTTTCCACCGTATTTACGCCGGATGCTACATAAAACATTGCATTCACAGGAATACCATCACCCACAACAGTTATTTTCCCGAGACATATAACAACATATGGCACATTGCCTCGCATAAGTAGGATTAGAGTGACCACAGGTGTCTCAATTCCAAATCTCTATCAAATATACCAGCCAGCAAGGGGCTGAACTTCTTCACATGGCTGACTAGACTATTGAGACGTGCAGTGGTGGAGACCATTTTTGGTTTTACCGTCCTTGCTGGGCGGCGGTCTAATGCAGTTGAGGATGCATGGAATGAGCCATGGTGTTCTCGATGGAGGGGGAATAAAATGACATTGCAAAATTGGATAAGTGAGTTTGCATTGGGATGTATTATCACTAGCAATATAGGTAGGTAATCGGGCGATGGCTGAGGTAGGTGACTACATTTTTTAAGTGCCCTGTCACTAATTGACTTTCACTAACTGAACAGCTTCCTGTTTTGTAGAATATACTCCCCACGTATTGTGGGAGAGTGATCCATATAATCCAGCAAATATCAGCTAATTCATGGGGATTTCCCACCTGAAATGTGGTTTTCACTCTTCATTTTTCTCGCAATCTTGCAACTATTCGCAACGATTCGCAACGACTTCATACTCACTAATGTCATTATCATTTTGACTGTTTTAATCAGTCAGCCTATAGTTAGTAGCCCTGGATATATATGTTTGGAAAGAGCGAATATACCTGAAAGTGTTCTACCACGGATTACTATAATCTGGAATATACCTTCAGGTAGGCATCTAATAATACAACCCAGCACGATGTTGCTATTAGTTGATTGAACTAGTTCCAGTCAGAATATAGCGTCCGGATTGCCCGCCGCTCATTGGCGATTGCCAGAAAGCGGCAGTGGGAATCGGAAAAACACGATGCTGTCTTCTACACAACCCTCGCTACTGCTTTGTCTACTCATAGGGGACTTGTCTTCTATTTGCTTGCGTCGAGATACCTGGTATGTCGGTAGAATCAGCCGAGTGGACTCGTATTAGTCGAGTCGTAATGGGGGACTGCGTTGTGGGCGCTAGAGAATGCGGTCATCTCGGGGACGAGAGATATGATGAATATGAGTACGGTGCTGAGCATTCTGGTCATGAATTACTGTTGTATATATTCTTTAACAAGAAATAGATATCATTACCCCTGACCAATGCGGTGACATACAGTTTCT